TATCCACATTCTCCTTTGGAATAAGAGGAACTGTCTGGGCTAAACCTACAATGTTAGCTTGGAAACAAATTACTTTGAATTAGTGACATAGCTTAAAACTGCTCTTACTGGCCGAGTGAGTAGGAGCCTTCCTTTCAGTTCCTGTAATTGGGAGTTGCTCTCGTTGTCTGTGGAGCAGCAAGTTGACATGGCAATTCCAGGTGACAGGAGTTTTCATACCAATATTCTGGTGACTAAAATGTTGATTTTAAAGGCTGATTGTAACAGCGACCAAGAAGCACTGTCCTGGATGATGATGAAGTCTGAACCTCGGAAATTCTGTAAATACTCATGTCTCCTCATGTCCACCCATGGCCTGCCTATTGAAACAGGAAGTGTTACTAATAGTGATGTAACTCTGCCACAGTATCACAAACACACCAGAAAGAGAGGAAGTCCAGTGAGGTCATTTGGTTGCTCTTCCTTCCCAGAGAAATAGGGTATTCTACACCACGTATTTTGAAGCGCTTCATACGGTTAAACATCTGATGTAGGAGAAATTTGGTCCATGTTTTCTCTGTGGAAACTATTCCAGAGTCAGGAGGAATCCCAGTCTGCATGGTGTGGGTGACAGAAAGTGCTTCAGAGCCCTATAACCACATCAAGATGACCCAGTATGTTTATGCTGCATCTGGCAGCATCAATTAAGACCTCTTCCTCCCAGGCCCCAGTAAATCCATGTCTGCTGCCTAAGGAAGCAAGAAAGATTTATAAGAAGTACTCTTCACTGCAAAAGGATTCTCTTTAATGCACCAAACATGCAGGCTGGTGTTAAATATCCAAGACTCCAGCTGACACTGGGTTGCTCTGAACATCAGCATATCTGAGATTTTTAATGAACATGGATTTTTTTTGAGTTTGGAACATTTAGTACAACAGTTTGTTCAAAAAAACCCCACTGTATAAAGTTCCTATTGATGGGGTTCTGAAAACTTCAAGTATTGGAATCTGAGTCCACTGGCTTTATCCCTTAAGGCAGGATCCCATGTGTTTTGTAGCACAGCAACACTTGCTGGGCACACACCCTGTGGATTTTTGGGTACTGAGGACTCCAGGAAAGACACATGACTGAGTAATGTGCTAGTATGATATAGATGCCATAGAAGGGTGACAGGATTAGCCGGTATTTGACAAAGATAACATGATTCTCCATAATGAATTTGATTGGAAGCAGCAAAGCAAGACAGTGGATCAGAGGGAGAGGGACTTTCCTGGGACAAGTCAGTTATGGCGTACTTCACAGGGACTAGGCAGCATCCCTACACATGGCATGAGGGCCCTCTTGTGGGCCCTGGTGTCTTCATTGGACCCCATTAAAAACTAGCAATGTGCTGCCTGAGAGGAGATTAATGTTAACGTTTAATTAGAAGGGCTATCCAGCTTCCAGTGCCCACGGTGGCAGAGGGCACAAGCACACACAAACAACAGGTTCTGGGGCTCCAAGTTTTATCATGTAGGATGTGTATATTTCTCAACTAATGCAGAAATTACTGGAGTTTGAATGACACAACAGTTCAGCCTGCATGACTGACTAGATAAGCTGCATCTCAGTTATGGCAACACTGTAAAATACTGAGATAGCATTTTGCTTTTTCATGTGTTCACCAGTCCATTTTCAACTCCCAGTGAAGTGTAGCCCAACTCACCTTTGTCCAGCTCACATCTTCTTGCTGTCTCCTATCCCACACACATTTGCAATCATTGCTAATTACGGTCATTACCCAGACAGGAGGTGAGCACATCAACACCCTTCATTTCTTTTGCTTTTGTCCCACTGTGGTTATTGGGAGCTGGTGGATATATACATTGTCAAACCTGATCATCTCATATTAAGCACTTAGTGTGGACACAAATTAATGTGACTAATAACTGCGAGAGGACAAATTTTTACCACCTACAAGCCTCATGGAAACCACTGCTTTTTCTAACCGTGTTCAGAGTGAAATAATTATGCAAGATTCAAATTAAATGTCCCCAAGTGCTCAAGATATGGAATCTGCAAGATCATGCAAAAAAAAAAAAAAAAAAATTAAGTGATGATATAGCTGGAAATCGAGAGGTTAGTAGTAACCCACTCTAGAAAGTAGGATAATTTTGTTTGCTTCCTAGAAAAAAAACTAAGGGACTTAAAAAATGCAACCAAAAAACCCATCAGCACCACCCCATCCCACCAATACAGGGCATTTACATTTTTAACCACAGCATTGTACTGATGTATGTTTTCACTCTGAATTCAAGCATCTCTGTTTTTTAATAACAAGTTCCCTACAGTCTTTGTAAACTTGTTGGAGCAGAAAAGGACAGGAAGGCATAGGTCTATGTTCTGTTCAGGTTACCCAGGACAGCCGATCTATCCTTCTGGATAGTCACCTAATGTAAATCAAGGTCGAATTTAAGCAATGGATTAAGTACCTACCCAACCTAATAATTATGGGAAATGGATCCCTTCCAGGGAATACAGAAATTTTATGAATGCTTTCCAGCTATGTCATGATCCTGATGTGCTCTCAAGCATAGATTTGCCCTGGTTCACAAAAGCACGGAGACGATCAACTATGTTTTTCTGGTCAGCCCATTTCTACATTTATTCTTAATAGCTTTAATAGTAAGTTATTTCAGTGTCTCAGCCTGTCTTGTCTACTCAACTGTACTGTTTTACACGTGGGCTATCTCTTGCCATGTTCAGCATGGAGCATAATGAAGTCTTGGGTGGAAACTAGATACTCCTACCAGGTGTTCAGAGATACACCTTTGCAATGGCATGTCATTGAACACACCTACTTTAAACATTTTTTGTGATTTCCCTGTCCAAGAAACAAGGCTTGTTGCATTTAAATTCTGATTACTCTTCAGGCAATTCTTTCAAATTCTTTAGGAAGTTTCTCTGGTTGTATTCTACAAACTGTACGAAAAGAAAATTATGTTTGTCCTAAGTGATGTTAACAAAAGAAACAAATCCTCTAGATGGTGCTACTATTTCAAATAAAACAGCTGGATACTTGAAGGTTTTATTGTAATATATTGCTGTGGCATCCTGTGAGAAAGGAGCACTGTGAAAAATCCTGGCGCCAGTAAACGAACTGATGTCAAACAACTCATAACTTCATCTAACAAGTGTTAGCAATGAAGGCCAGTCTGGATGTAAATATACTAATTGCTTCTCTTTAATAATGTGAATGTTTCAATATCTTACTAAATGCAGAAAAATTATAGGATGTATTGATGAAAATTATCTTTCAACGGTTGACTCAATTTTCTGTCTTTGATTTCAAGTTTTCCCAATAATTTGCAACTGACCTCTCCAGTGTACATACAACTCTTCAACTTCAGTGACTCATATGAATGTTCTCTGACCACTGTCTTTGGATGTGGCACAAGCCAAGCATGACAGTTTTCCCTGGCGAAAGCTGCATGCTCTGGCTCAATTTCACAGAAGCGCTTTAGCACAACTGTACTTCAAATACAGCCACAAAACCAGTACACATGCTCGACCTGAAACATGGTTAAAAACCTAGATGGCTTAAGGATATTTGTATAAGCACGCTGTACTTGGGCAATAAAGGCTGTTAAGTGCTTTAGTGGTACATAACAAGGAAAGAAGGTAAAACAATTTACCTTTTCTTGCTCAACACAGCTGCACAGGTCCAGTACTGAAATATTGGGCCAGCTGTCTACACAACAAATTTTCTGATCCTTAGTTCCTTTCTGGCCAGCCACTTTTCAAGAGGATGCCAAAGTTCCTCCTATTCTTTCCTCTCTTTCCAGGGTTCCTATCTGTAGTTTTGGAACTTCTGCCTATTTTATCTCTCAGATATGGTTCCTGAATCTCTTTGTAATCCAGACAGATGGATTTGCAGCACCAAATTTCCTTCCTCGTGTGGTTGCTGTCAAAGTCAAGAACAAAAACTTTCTGATTTCAAGATTATTATTGTTATGCATTATTATACATCTGACCTTTGAAACATATATTCTCTACAACCACTATCTCTTACTTTGTGCAAAGTTCATATGTTATCTAAACAAATGTCAAATTTGGGATCTTGTTAAGCCTTCAGTCTCAGTAACAATAACTGTGAATTCTGGAGTTTACTCAGACAGTGTAAAGGAACCATTTATGTCATTGATTTTGACTAGTCAACCTTTAGAATTTCACAGAGTATATTTGTTCTTGTGTTATGAGAGAAGAATAACAACATCTCTAGATTATACATCATTTTGTTTTCTTTCCCTGTGTCCCCATTTATTTATCTGCTTTCCAAGAAACATTCCTTATAGGAACATATCTCTGAGCTCTTGGTGATTTTTACTGCTCTTTTATGCCTCCTTCTCCAGTTTTGTAATAGTTTGGTTTTTGAGGCTGCAAAGCCACCAAATCAGGGGCTGTAGCTGTTCACAAAAATACTTTTTAAAACAAGAAAGAGAATCAAAAAGCAGACAGAAAGTATGAAACCCACTCTGTTCAGTGTCGAGTGGGAACAATTTTTCTCTAGGTGCTTTTGTCATTTTCAGGTTATCAACAGAGTATCCACAGCCCCTGACCACTTCACCAACCTGCAAAACTTAGTGAAGCTCCTGTTAGCTACCAACCAATGCAAATGCGAGCTCCGACCTCAGAAATGCATGAGGGCACTTGCAAAGAGTAAAAGAAATGAAGACTGGAAAAAAAACCTGCACTAAAAAAATGCACTTACGGAGAGCTCTGAAGTGTGGGAAATTCTCCATTTATTTATTTATAAAACAAAACAAAAAAACCCAAACAACTATGGCAACTGTTTCTAATACTTCACAGAAAGCCTAGGTGCAAGTATCTAGCCAATATAAACGAAGCAGTATAGACAGTTTCTTGCTGTTTTATATTAAAAATAACCATGAAGGCATGAGCTTAAACAAACAGTTTATTTAGCATACTTCATGAATCCTTGCACAATGGAATTTCCCCAATCCTCTACCTTTTTCCAAAAATCCCTGTTCTTATGAATGAAGTGAATTGTCCTGCTTGTGAGGACCAACACAGGCAACTACAATTAACCTTGTTAAAAATAAAATAAGATTAGACTGACTTTGGAAGTGATTCCTGCAACGTCTCAGAATATTCTGGCTCATAATAAGGTTCCAAAATAGGTTTTAATTTGACTTCTTCTGGTAGTTTTTGTGTCTCTTCTCTCCGGCTTCCATCTCTTAAAAGTGGAACCAGTGTTTTCCAGTTTTTCCCTGAAACTAAAAAGGAAAGGAATGGTTACTTTTTTACCCTCCACAGAAACAGAAGAAATTATGCAAGTGGTTTAAATAGGAAGAAGCTGAAAGAAGAGGCAGGAAGAAAGGGTTTTGTGGTTTTCTTCTGCATACTGTTCCATGAGCTTTCCATATTTCAGCTGGTAAACACCAGCAGAGACTGTACAGTTAAAGTTTTCTCTGCTGGATGCTGAGCTCCCAAATTATAGGGTTTGGTGTCTCTGAAGTACCTTCCTGGCTAACTGGCTGCTATCCTGCACTGTTCCATCTCCTCCAGATTTATGCACATTATCCAACTCATAAAAATCTACAATCAGAATGATGAATCCATGGGGCTTCTATTCCAGTGAGTAAAACTGTTATGTGAATAATGAACCCACTTAATCCTTTACATTTTGTGCTGACTGAAAATGCCATTAACTTGGCTACTGCCATTATCATTAAGTGCATAAAACTGACTGGTCTCTAACAATTTAATGATGCTGCTTCTACTACCAATGTCAAATCCGTACTAGGATTTAGGTTCCTGAAAACCTCACCTCTGCCAGGCTTAATAGAGTAACTGGGATTTCGTTTGAGGTCCCCAAAGCACCCAGGGTCTTCATTGATTATGCCCAGATTAGTATTCCACGTGGACCAGTTCACTTCATCAACCCTAGGG